CTGGGTGGTGCCTTGCTCGGTCGTCTGATCAGGCATTGCTGATGTAGTGGGCAGCTTCCGGCTTCGAAGTTCCAGGTTTGCGTACCCAGCACACTTCCACCACTTTGCAAGGGGGTTTATTAGCGACGCCAGGTAATAGGCAGACAGCCGGTACAGAACCAAATGCTCGGGCAGTCCAGTGTCTACAGCTCGTGCTCGCGCTTCGCACTCAATGATGGTCCCACTATCATTGCCTTGCGAATTCCCCACTACAATATATATATATATAAATATATATATATATATATATATATATATATATATATATATATATATATATACAAGTACGAGTCGATAAGAGTCGTACGTTCAGAAAGTTACAGACGGTAGTAAACGTGAATAGGAGAAGCGGCTAAGAGATAATTTAATTGACTCCTCCCAAAGTGATCACAGTGTTTCTGAAGGTCTGGCATTAAGCATTTTCAATGTTCATCTGCACGTATAAAATGCACCACGGCCTGGAAACCGATAATGAAAGACGCATCACCGCATTTAGAGTATACATAGATTAGCACATATCATTCATGAGCTTTTCTCTTTCAAAAACCAGGGAGGAGAGGGGTGTCAAAAACAAAGAAAGTATAAGAGTTCACGAGAGAGAGGGAAAAATTTAGTTTGTGCAGGCCTAAAAGATCGTCCTCGTTGGGTGGAGCCCTTATCCTTACTCTTTAAACAGGGCGGCGGCCCAGTCAAATTCTTGGCTTATTGATTTGAAAGACGTCAGAGCTGAGAAGAAATCAGCAATTCTGCGTGTTCTCCTATTAGCAAAAATTACGGAGCGAAAATGTTATGAAAGTCGGCTCAGTTGCCATGTCTCAAGAAACAGAAGAAGCAAAAGATGAAGTAAGAGTGTTTGAGATATTTCAAAATTTTCTGCATCTGACTGAAAACGAAAAAAAAATCCACCTATTTCGATAAATTGGAAACCGGAGTAAACACGCGCGTTTGTTATACGCGCATACGTGCGGCTGCGATCACTCGCGAAATGAAAAACCATTTCGAGGAACCACTGCATGCAAGAGGGATGATCTGGAGAAAGAGGACTGAGAAGGAAGCGCAGGTTGTGCTGGCGAACGGCCACGCCTGCAAAATCTTTGTAAAGAAACTCAAACCACGCCATTAGCTTCACAAACAGCCTTTTTATTATTTTGCTTTCACTCACACGCCTTCTTTTATACTTTTAGCCTTCGCAGACCTGCTTTCTTTCCTTGTGTCTAACCAAGGCTATATTGATCGAAACATCAGCGCTGCGGCAAAACCGTATATATAACGCAGTTTTCCCAGACCGGTAAAAAAACTTAATCGAAGGATGTTTTGATAGAATTGCACCAAAAATCGTTCCTCGAGTTCAACACTGTGCAGCCATTCCAGGGAAAGACAACGCAACACTTTATTTAGATGAACCTAGAGAAAAGGTTGCCTTCGAAATATGTGACAGTCTATTTCACACCGAATCAATCTACCTGATTGAGAAATCTGCGGAACACGAACAATGCTGTTGTATTGGGTCTACAAATGCACGAGAGACGCGACCTGCCTTGAAAACACTGCATTGTCAAGATGCACAGCACATACTATGCGCTGTGCATCTGTCACTATAGTATTCACAGTGTGAATACTATGTTGACGGACGGACGGACGGACGGACGGACGGACGGACGGACGGACGGACGGACGGATGGATGGATGGATGGATGGATGGATGGATGGATGGATGGATGGATGGATGGATGGATGGATGGATGGATGGATGGATGGATGGATGGATGGATGGATGGCAATCGTGATAGAAGCAATTTGTGCCTGATCAGGCATGCATAGCGTATTACTCGGCTATTAAACGTATATGAGAGTGCTACCTTATCATACCAACAGGGTGTCGCTTAAATCAAGTATGCTTGGCATACTAAGCAAAATTACATGCGTTCTGGCTGATTAAAAAGCCTGCAGTGTCTTTTTTTTGTGTTAAAGTACTGTTTTTTGTTTTATTCGCAAGACAAAAGCACGGATATTCGTTTGGACACGTTATTTATCTCCGCGTTGAGCATTTCCTTCTTTTCAGCTGCCGACGACAGCTTTCGAGTGGTTCCCGTTTTTGAAATGGCTGGTCCCTAACGACATTTCGCGGAGACGAGGTGTTAGGAATAAACGTGAAAATAATAAATATGCAGGGTGTCAGCAAACACTGTGCCTTCTCTCAGCGGCATTCATGCGTTCTCGTTATCTCCGAGTTGTCCGTCCAAACACGACTCACGAAAGCGGCGGTTGCCAAATGACGACTATATACGGCATCGCTGTCAGGGCCTCTGATTGTGCTTGTGGGTCGAAACCACATGCCCCACGTGGGACCACATACTATTGATGTGGAAAATCATCACCACGTTATGACGGCATCATGTAATGTTAGAGGACGCCAGAATCGCCCTCATTCCATGATCAAAGGAGCATCGATCTCATAGACATTGCGAAACCATGCGATGTGCGGAAACGTTCCCATTTCTTTGATTCCGGAAGCAGCGCAGAACTACGTTGAATGCGAATAGCTCTCGATCTGGATCAATAACATTGACCGAAAAGAGATTCAAGAAGAAAGGCGGCTTTCACCTTCTGGTCACCTCGGGCGATTGCGTAGAGGACCGTGCCCTTTTTATTCATGTCTAAACAACAGCCAGTCCCCGGCAACAGCGCGCACCACAACACGTTCGCACGGCTCGTTGTAACGATTTAGAAGAATAAGAAAGCTAAGTACCACTTGTAACGATACCGATACAAAGATAATCGAACAGAGCAGTCCATATATTGCGGATAATTGAATTAACGTAGCCTAATAAAGGCAGACGACTACCATGCGTCGCTATAAATTTGGGTGGTGTGAATGTTTATCCTTCCAGGATGAGACCATGCGGCGTTTCCTAAATGTGGATAGACTCGAACTTTTTTTTTTTGCTGTTGCACGCTGCGTTTCGTGTCGCAACAATTGGAGAGACAAGGCGCGTGTCGTGAAGATGGCTGACACTTAAACAAGGGTTTTCGATGAGATTGTCGCAACTGTGCCGTCACGGCACACTTGTCTGTGGCGTGAAAAGACGTGACACTAGTGAGTGAATCATCGAAAGCGACAAGTTTCGTCTACAATGTTTCCAAAATGTTTGCCCGCCTAATGCAGTTGCACATGCAAAAACGCCGTCACAAAGTGAAAAAAAAAGATATTAACATTCGAACACACCATGACGAGTGCTTTTCTTGACCTAGTTCAGTCAATAAGCTGCATATGTATGAACAACCAGCCATTCGGCACGATGTTTACGAAATTACTCAGGCAAGGAAACTGCGTAACTGATTTAGATACTACAGTATACGAAAATAACAATTTATCTTTTTCGCCCATATTACCAACAGAAAATAAAAGCTGTTCTCGACACCTTTGGTATCTTAATCTGAGCCGCAATGCACATTTCTTTCTTATGCATCATCATTATTGCGACGTACACGAGAGGCACCAGTTAGGCCTCGTGTATAAAAAACAAGGTGTGTTGACTGACCCTAACGACGCCTTTGCTGTGTTCGGGCTAAAGTGCAACGGCGGCCAGATGTTAGTTTATGTATTATATTATGGAATAATATATTTATCTTCGTACTTATTGAATTACACAAACTGCACACTGAAGCTGAAGGATTCACGTGTGAAAACTGAATTATTAACGTTCGGGATTCTTCAAGATGTTTGGCCAAAGTATAATATTGAGGCTCGGCCAGAGTGGTGAATCACACCCAACTCCTATTGTTGAAGAGCTGTACGAGTAAGTTGCCTTGTGTCAGTTCACCTTCTCAACCACCCCACCGTGGTGGTCTAGTGGCTAAAGTGCTCGGCTGCAGACCCGCAGGTCGCGGGGTCGAATCCCGACTGCGGCTGCTGCAATTCCGATGGAGGCGGAAATGTTGCAGGCCCGTGTGCTTAGATTTGAGTGCACGTTAAAGAACCCCAGGTGGTCAAAATTTCCGGATCCCTCCAGTACGTCGTCTTCCATAATCATATGGTGGCTTTGGGACATTACACCCCTCATATCATCATTAAATCAATAATGAATCAATCTTCTCTTGAACCAATTGTTTTCCCATCTCTCTTGTGAAACTTCGTGCAACTATGCCAATCGTGAACGGTCTACATATCTCAGAAGTTTCTCGCAATGAAAAGAGCAGAAAAAAATTGCCCGCAGCTTCCCTCGGGGGAACACTGAGGAGGATGCGGAGCATATAATTGGTTAACGGGGTGTTAAAGTGCGACTTACTTGGGTCGATGGCTAAATTGGTTAACGTGGTTGTGAAATGGGGTGTTAAATTGCGACTTACTTGGGTCGATGGCTAAATTGGTTAACGTGGTTGTAGGAGGGGGTGTTAAATGAGTGAACACGTACACACGTATGCGAAAGGGCGGCGCTGGTCGAAGGGACGTCGATCATTGTGTTTGTGGATTCGTTGGAATTCATTTCACCGCGACCTTGGACGTCGACGCGCCGTACAAACCAACCGACGAGCGGCAACTGAGCGAGCGAGCACCAACCTTGAGTATATATACAGCTCGACGGCGCATGCCGTCGAGCTGTTGAATGTTCTCGAAGCGCGACGCCACATGCGCGTCCACTGGAGAATCAGGAGAATTGTAGATGTCGAACGCGGTGTGTAGAGGAGGAAGGGTGCACAGATGGTGGAGGAGTGAAGCGCGCGCGGTGTGTAGAGGAGGAAGGGATGCACAGATGGTGGAAGAGTGGGCGACGGCGCGACGGCGCATGCGCGCGCGTCAGCTGTCGAACGTTCGAGAAGCGGTGCGGACGGCGTGGACGGCGCACTACAAGGCGCGAGTATAAGATGCTTCCGCATCTAAAATACCTTAATCAAAAAGGAAAAGCTCCAGAGAAGCGTGTACACGCTTGTGACATCATCGAAGGCAGCGAAGTGCGTCTCCGATTGCGCCGAAACACAGACCCGTCTCTCGTTCGCACCGCATATGCGAAGATGCTGGCGCGCCCAGCGGCGGCGACTGGCTGACGCGCCGTGCGCGCAATTCGAGACCAGCGCCGGGGAAAGGCGATAGCGGCCAGACAGCGAGCGACCCACCCAGTCGAGGGCGATACGACGGCTCCATCCAAACAGGTATTCGCCCAACCATCGACGCCCCGCTGCGACCTCCTTGGCCAGTTCAAAGTCGCGTGCGCGCAGCCACAACTGTCGCCATGCATCAGCTGCTGTTCTCGTCGCTTGTGGTTTCGCTGACGTTCGCGACCGTTCGGTGTCAAATCAAAGGACACTATCCCACAGACGACCCACCGGTGCTGAGGGCAGTTGCTGCTCTCACCACGGGATCCATAACAGGCACCATCCAGTTCATTAAGGAGGTAAGTGCGCTTGCGGTTTCCTTTGACAAGCGAGGGGCTCGCTCTAGAAAGATCGGGTACTCCAGGAAATACCGGTAGGCATCTGACAGACAAGTTTCAGGTCCCCTTCGCCTGTGCAGCGTAAACAATATGGTCATTCATCTGTGCACTACATTTGCGTATAGCCGCTATATCGTGAACCAGATTTTAGAGACCACTTTGTTATTTGGTTCAAGGACTAGTATTCTTTTAATTTCTTTTAACCCAAAACTTTCTCAAAAGGTTAGCATTTATTGTTCTTTTTTGTTTTGAGGTAATTGCAGGGAATTGGCTGAATTTCGTTATTATAATGTAGAAAGATTCATTGGAGGTTTCCATAAAATGGCCGGAGTGGTGCGTTTAGAGCACCCTACTCACCGTGTGTTTGCTTTCGCAGCAAATAATGCAGCACTGCTCCCTCGCCTACCCATCAGCAGCGATCAAACGAGCTTCGTCTTCCGAACACCTTCCCCCTCCCCCCTAACACTTATCATTTTTATCTGCTATGCCGATGTTTCAATTACGATAAACGTGCTGTAGGCAGCTTCGGCAGCTTTGTCTTGTGTGTTATTACACCAATCAGGCCCCTGATTGAGCCAGTCATCTCTGGCACTAATAGTTTGAAATATATCCTTTCTGTACCACACAACCTAAAGCCTTGCAGGTTGTGGCAGGTACGTGTTATCACCGTGTCATGTTGTCATGCTAATAATTATTTAAGCAACGTGTGACGCACGTCGTTGAGTAACGTTTCCTGCGAAGTGGTACGCATGAATGGTACTCCGCATCCTATTTTCTTTCGTTTTTCCGTCTTTAAACTTTACAAGAAAGTGAGCGCTTGTGTCGCGTTGTTCTTTCTGTTTCTCCTTCATCAATCAGTACGCAATCTCCAGTAACAATAAATTCATACTAATCGATCGATATGATCAATGTGTAGGGTTTAACATCCCGAAACCACCATATAATTATGAGGGACGCCATAGTGATGGGCTTCGGAAATTTCGACCACCTGGTGTTTTTTAACGTCAACCCAAATTTAAGCACACGGGCTTACAGCATTTTCACCTCCATTGAAAACGCAATAAATACTTACCAACCCGCCACAGTATTCTGCTTCCATGTGTTATTATAGCAACCTTCATGAACACATTTCAAGCCCGTCTTTCTTTAAGGCGTCAACAGGATGTTCACAGATCAACGATCTTGTGAATTCATAACGCACCTTTTGAAAGGACTTGTATACGTGTCTCTCCTAACGCGAACCAAGTAAATGAAACAAGAAAATACTGCTCAAAAGGAGACGTAACACAAGTGAAGGAACACACAAGGCGAGCGCTGCAGCGGATCAGGTATTTGATGACGACAACAGGCATTCGCTTAGAAATACACACATGGCGCAACTTTCAACTGTTTATATAATCCACCTATGAAATAATTCATGTCGGTCTGCTGTAGGCGTCAAGCTAGGCTGATAACGTGTTAGTTTTGGTATCTTAGTCACTGGAAGCCTAATAACAATAAAGAAGAAATTCTACGACAGAAAAACGACCAGCTAAGCAGCAAAGTTAGGGAAGCAGTCATTCTCATTCCTTTTATTTATATTTATCGTCTGCCTGACAAACTTAGGAAAGCTACTTAATAGTTGATTGTGATTATCGTATCTCGCCCCTCCCTAAATTTGTTTAAACTGTGCAATTGAAAGAAACTAGCCTCATGGGGCCTCCTGTTTGCAGCGTAAGACACGAAGAAAAAAAAATCGCTAGGTGTCCGACTGCCGTGATATGAAAATCTATTTGCCTATGGTAGCGTACATAATATTGTAAACTGATCGATGCCTTAACGATCACCTTAGAAAACACTATGATAGTATCAGAAGTGGTCATAACGGTCATCTTAGATCAGAGCACGGTTGCGTTCTCTAACCGTAATCAATCGACAAGACCTGTAATACAACCCAAATCAATTTAAGAACGAACCAAAACCGGTGTCAGTATGCTTCTCTGATGCTATCCGAGAAAGAACTCAAGTCATTGCGATTTCACTATTATAACTCTCATGCCTTGTATCGCCTGCTTCAGCGTGCGGAAGAGATGCATCTCTAATGTTCGAATAGGCAAGCTGAAAATTGCGCTGTATGCGTCTCGTATGTCGCATCTCTGTCCGTGTCTTGGAAGCGCGTCTCCATTGTCGTCTCGCCGAACAAACTATACTAAACTCTAACAAAATATAAAGTATATCTTACTTTCCCAGTGATACCGGACATGACACATATATGACTCCAGTCAAATAGATATATTAACGCTCTAGTGGGTCATATAACTTAAAGAAGAGAGTATAACCACCATCCAAAGAGAGCTGAAGTGCCTCTTTTAAGAGAGTCATGTATACGTAACAAAGCAGAACAAGTCAAATACACTTTTTTTTTTCTTTTGAGATTGTAACTGGCTGTGTTTGCAGGTATCTTTCAAAAGAAAACTGTGAGACACAAATATAGTACCAAGTGTGTCTTATTAACCGAATTGAGATTGTAACCGTCTGCGTTGGCAGGTATTCTTAAAAAGAAGGCAATGAGACACAAATGTAGTACCAAATGCGTATTAATAACCAGAAATGTTTCCCGCTAATAACCCGATAATGTTTTACCAGATAATGGCTCTTTTACTATGCATTTCCTATTTATTCTATGATCCGCGTGATGTGCGTACTGTTCGAAAATGTCGCCTTAAAATGTTGCCACCCCATTCTATGATGGCAGTTTGCTGCCCAATCATAATGCCTACTGACTTCATGATTCAATATATACTGGTGTATTAGGAATGTATTTTACGTCTGGCGAAGACCGAGGTTCTCGAGGTTCTTGCTAATTAATGCCTTATCTCTCTTTTTTTTTGCAACCAAAGGAAAGAGAGTAACTAAGTGCAGTTACAGCAAATATACTTTCCTAACGGAAGACACTCACAATCGGAGTATAAGCGTTACGAAATGCTTTGAGCATTGATACGAAAATACTGGATGGCACCTTCGCAATTCTCATCGGACCCAAAACACGCCCGCAAGGAGAAAGAAAGGAAAAAAAAAAAGTGAGAAGAAAAATAAAAAAAAAACGAAAAACACTTAAATGACTGTCAAAGAGAATAGAAAGAAGGAGAGTGGTAAATAAAAAAGAAAACTTAAGAGGAACAAACAAGACTGCCTGACTCCGCACTTGCTTCAGGCTTGGCACCACTGCGGTGAAGCTGCCTCATTTTTTTAATTCTTTCGCAGCCGGCTGAATGTTGTTTCTTTTTTTTTACATCCTTTTAGTTTCAATTGCTATCGCTGCTGAATTATATTAATCACAAAAATACTGTTCTGTAACTTGGTTCTGTTTACTATCACCTGGACTTATTGGTATGTCTTACAAAAACAAGCCACTACTGCGCAGATGTAGGGTGTCTCCAAGCTTTCATATCAACACGGGCTTGAATCGCGAAGCCGCAGAGAAAGCGTGACGGCCGCCTTGGACACGGGACCTTGAGAAGAGCCGCGTACGCGAGGGTGCGTTTGTATATACACAACGTACGCGTACAATCCGACGAGGCTTGCTTTGGCACGCACTTCACAAGACGCCCTCCAGAGAGCGGAAGTGTGGCTCGGCATCGTTACCTCGTCACGAGAACTCGCCGGCCTTCTAGATGCGCTCGCGAAACAAGTTTCTGGCCAACTCCGATATAATGACCACCATCACCTGAAAACATACGCCGCTTAGGCGCAGAAGGTGAAAATGGCACGAGTGTCCATCGTGATAGCTCGGCAAATGCACGTATATGCGAAAACCTAAAAGAAGAGTCCGGCGTGGAACAATATTGTCAATCGTTCCGAAGGCATCGTCGTAGAGTGAACGGTGTTGGCATTTTTATTGACGGCGAAGAATTGATGACTGAGGCTGGCGATATATTTTAAGGCGTGCAGGCCTTCCTTCGTTGCACGGTTATTGGGCTTATTAAACTACCGTTACCGTGAATTCAAATGCAAGCAAATCAATAGCGAATAGATTATATTGCCGCGCTTCCCGATTCTCCTGTGTACGTAATCACCGCAATACTGACTGAAATTAAAACACGCTGAAGAAACGGCTTTGGAGTGGCGGCACGTTACACGCCTGTACGATTGCGCTCGTTCAACGTTATGACTCAATTGTTTGTTGTTTCTTTCTATTTTTTTTATTTGGATGAGTGCAGACAGTAAATGCTGTGGTGAGCATTCTGTGTGGATGCATTGGTAACAATGATATACAAGCTGGCTCTTATCAGTCAAATTGCGGACATTTTCATGCGTTTAAAAATCGAACGAGCACAGGCTTCGCAGGTAGACTTTTCAGTTGAAATTCATGGACCATAACGGTATAACGAATGGAAGGACTGTGCAGGTTATTGCAGGAAATTGTATTGTTATTAAGGCGATAGCATTAGACAGCTCATTTTGCACACATTCCGGCGTCGGTGTCGGTGACGGCATCAGCGTCGTTGGTTGTGAGCGAAAAATCCTCATCTTGTGCGTGACTGAAAAATCGAGAAAGTTGCAAATGAGTAATGAAAAGTTCTTGGTCCGACTGAGGATTGTGAGCAGGTATTGCACAACACAGCCACGAGTCTGCTTTTGAATACCGTGAAAATAACTTCCTCTGTTTGTAAATGCAGTGAAAGTAACTTTCATGCTTTACAAACACATGCGTCCTGTTTACATGCCATACAATACAACATGAAACCCCACATATCAATCAATCAACATGAAACATTGCAGTAATACTGCGTGCTACAAGCGTACGTTGCCATCGGACGTCATAACATGCGACTGTCGTAATGACTTCATGGTTTAAAGCGTGTCACCCACTACAAAAGGCACAGACGTTACCGCGCCTATTACCTTAAGGCCACGTAGTGGGTGCAAAGCAAGTTCGAAAAGATTTCATGCACTAAGTATTTGAATTGCAAACTAACGACAAGATACCACTATCGCGCTCAGCTCTGAAAAGTGAAGCTTAAAGATCCTCTATTTTGTTGTTGTTGTTGTTGTTGTTGTTGTTGTTATCATAGTAGCAGTAGTAGTCAGGCGCATAGTCAGGAAAGTTGCCCTAAGACCCACCTGCCACCCCCCCTTTTCCTCCGAAATAAGGATGGAGGATTTGGGCTACCAAGAATAATGAAAATCAGAATTTTTCAAGGCTTCAGCAGGTGTCCCCCCGTCCTCCGAGAAAAATTGCTAACTACGGGCCTGGTAGTGGTAGTAGTAGTAGCAGCAGCAGTAGTAGTAGTAGTAGAAGTAGTAGTAGTAGTAGTATTAATAGTAGTAGTATACGGGATTTAGTAGTGTTGGTAGTAGCAGTAGTAGAAGAAGCAGCAGCGGCAGTTCTGCCTTGTACGAGCACCAACACGTTAAAAAACCCCAGGTGGTCAAAATTCCCGGAGTCCTCAACTACGGCGTCTCTCAGTATTATATGGAGGTTTTGAGACGTTAGACCCCACATATAATCAATGCTAAATGCTTTATTTGCATTTTTCATTGATTGGTTGGTTGATTGGTTGGTTGATTGGTTGGTTGGTTGTTTGATTGATTGATTGATTGATTGATTGATTGATTGATTGATTGATTGATTGATTTGCAAATTAATCAGTAAGTAGAAGAAGGCTTCTCTTATTTACTTTAAAGCCCTCTTAATATTGAATACCGCGTGTTAAGGCAGACGTTGTCATTCTGTGCGGGCCATCGCCACGCTGAGAGGTCCCTGCTTCACGTTCTCATTCTGTAACTCCGCGTGTACCTCGTTTCTATAGCGCGCGCTCTCGCGCCTCTCGGGCGTCCCGTTCACTTCCCTCCTGAAGTGCTGGCGCGGTATGCTCGAGCTGCTTTGCATACAAATGTTCACCGCTGTTGCCGCGCAGAACCCTTATGCGCAGGTGCAGGTGCACGGGAACGTGACCGGACTGAGCCCCGGCAGGCACGGCTTCCACGTGCACCGGTTCGGCGACCTTAGCGGCGGTGAGTGATCGAGCCATCGTGTGTCCTTCCTTGGCTTTGCCCGGTCGCAAATGTTGCTACGGAAGGCGTCAGGGTCTCCGCTGTTTTCAAGGGCTTCAAGCACAGCTGTTCATATTTGCGAGCAAAGAGCGCTAAGGACAAGGTAACATGAGAAGCCGATTTATAAAAACACCAAGGCTAAGTACAGCATGCTGCTTTTTAAAACATGTACTTCACCGAGAGTGGCGTTCAAGTGGCTTAACCATTTCGTATTCACTATTTTATCAATAACGCGGAAATCTCAACGAATACCAAGCGATGAGATAGGGCGCGCATGCAAAGGGAAAGTAGATTTTCCTGTTTGGTAATAGTCGTTTTTCACTGAACATGTGTGACTTCAGCCTTCGTCGCTGTTGTGCTTCAACGCAGGCTGCAAGAGCGCTGCCGCCCATTACAATCCAGCCAACGCTGACCACGGAGCGCCTTCCGACTACATAAGGTGATCTTAGATAACTTGTTTAGTTAGGTGCAGAACTAGTACTGTGGCTGCTAACAATTTTTTCTGTCTTGAAACAAGCCCATAGCATCTAGCTCTTTTGTAACGTTTGATAACCCGCTTGAACTTCATTTAGTCTCACGTTCTGCCACTTGCTGTGCTTGGGTAACCCCTCAAACATTCAAGCTTTATGCCACCCCTACCATTTATCACCATCTTATACTTTTATTCAAGGATAATGCTCTCCCGTTATTTATTAATACGCCACACTTGAAATCGCTGAGACACCAAAAATTAACATATTGCTAAGTCTCATCATGAGCGGAGGCCCATAGATAAAAGAAGAGCGAAGTCGAACAATAGGCGTTGAATTTTGTTCCGCCATCTTTTCGTTCTCTCTTCTGCCGCACGAGACCCAACAGACATACCGACAATCGCGCCTTTTATTAAAAACAATACCTTCTAATATAAGTGATTCTGCAGCAGCGTGTCACGCCGTCTGACAATGCACAGAATGCACAGAATATCTGTGCATGACGTTTTAATACGAGTGCATCACGTGGCTCTCTAGGCTTGCCCACCATTACAAAAACAGTGACCGAAAAAATGGCACAAAAAAATACTTCACCTGCGCTCGCGGTTACGCTCTGCCTGAAAGTCAACTCACTAGATGACGCTGCAGCTCGCTCTGTCTCTATAGCGTTGTCGACGATGCGACTAGTGGACGCAATGAGCTTCATGTACGACTCGGGTGACAATTAAGACATACTTTTTGATTGTTTCTAGTTATCTTTAAAAAATCAACAAGAACACTTTGCACTAAAGGAAACGAGCACCAGGAGTATTGAGCAGCGCACCTTACATCTACAATGTGGGGATAAGAAATTAACTTTCTTCCCGGCACCAGCACGGAATGAAATCCAACGTTCATTACAACCCATTCAAGTGGGCCACCAAAACTGCTTATGTAGCATGTGGAGTGAATCTTCGCGCCAAAAATCAGATAACACCGATTTCGGCATAGGTTTGTTCGCAGATGAGCTCGCTAAGTGCATTCAATAAAGTCATCACCAGTGTTTCATCTTTTCTCGGTGCTTACGTTTCTTCGATGCGCGAGCAGGCACATCGGCGATCTTGGCAACATCGAGGCCGACGTGAACGGAGTGGCGCTCTTCAGCTTCTACGACCACTTGCTGGCGCTGGAAGGCCCGCAAAGCATCATTGGAAGAGCAGTCGTTGTGAGTCATCGCACTTTCTCGCATGTTGCCTCCCATTTCGAATTCATTTTCAACATTTCCATCGTCATTGTTGGCATCAACATGTCACGTTCGCACCTTGAGGAGTAGAAGCATTATCTAGACATTCCTCGCTCAACGAATCAAGTTAATTTTCAACATTATATTTGGGAGAAGTATATCGTAGCATAACATGATGTTGGGATAGTTGGTGCAATGTATTGAGAAAATATACATGGAACCAAAAGCCAACGAACCCGGAAAACGGGGAAGAAGGCAAGAGAGTGGCTGGACTAATAATTGTTTGCAAAAATAGTGCTCAAATATATAAAATTACGGGAGCCCATGGACATACAAGGCTCACTGCACCTACTGTGTGTCTCGACCTTAGCTGTTCTTTTGTCGCTTTGACATTATTTATTGATATGTGAGATTTAACGTCCCAAAACAACCATATGAATATGAGAGACGCCGTAGTGGAGGACTCCAGAAATTTCGACCACCTGAGGTTCTTTAACGTGCGCCCAAATCTGAGCACACAGGCCATATATATACATTTCCGCCTCCATCGGAAATGCAGCCGCCGCAGCCAGGATTCGATCCCGTGACCTGTGGGTCAGCAGCCGAGTACCTTAGCCACTATACCACCGTGGCGGGGCTGCTTTGACATTATAAAAATTGCATAAAGGTTCTTCCTTTTTACGTAATACCGCACAACTATAAATCGCTACATAGAGCTTCACTGTTCTGGCTATGTGAAAGGCCTCAAGTAGTCCACGCGCTTGTTCGCGATGACTTCAATCTTGAATCTTGATGTAATCAAGGAATGCTTCACAAATGCACTATTTACACTTGCATGTTTGGCGCATACAGTGACATAGTAAGAGGGGGGGGGGGGGGGGGGAGTTGCTAGGACGAACGTGTGTTCCCATTGTGAGGAGCTATGTGCACGCCTGTGCTAGTACCACGTTACTAAAATGCAAAACCTTATGTGAGTGTTCTCCATCTTTCAAACTCTCCTATCCCTGTCCCCAGTGTAGGGTAGCATATCGGTCGTTCTAGGCTGGTAAACATTCCTGCCTTTCCTTTCCCTCCTGTTCTTCTCTCTCTTATGTTAGTGTACACACAATGCCAAAAAGACGTTTTGGACATACATTTCAGAGTTATGTTTTCACTGATCCTACTTTCTAAGCCTGGTTTCGCATTAGGACGCCAGTAATGGCTGCTGTTGAAGCCGCATCACTAAATCGTTCTTTTTCTGGCTCCTTGCACGTGGTTCATTGATGAATGAGTTGCCATTTCGAAGGCTCTTTGCTCTAAGAGGGTCAAATTACCTTCGACGACGTGCGTGCGCGGAACGCATCGCGTGACACACGCAGAGGCAGAGAACCTGACCGCGATAATACACGCTGCGGAGCGGCGGCGCAAACAAGAGCGCCCAAGTTTCAGTCCGCACCCTGTGGCGTGCGAGGAGCTAATTGAAACGCGATTCGCCGCCCCCCGCGGCCGCCATCCACGCCCTGCAAACACACCAAACCACATCGAACTCGGCTCAGCCTTATTTTTTTTCCCCTTTCAGTATACAGTTTAATGAGCCGCGGACAGTAATCCCCTCGTGTGCACGCCACGTTCTTCTATACACATTCGGTGCAGCGTTTAATACCTTGGCAGGATAATAAGGACGCGGGCTAAATTACATCTTGAACCAGCCGTTCAAACTAATCTGGGCGTCACTGAGCTAATTTTGCGTCGCTGTATCCGCCGTGGTCTCTAGCCGGACGCCCCGTAATCCTCGCTGGCGGACGCGCCGAGCGAGTGGTGTTTACGAAGCGGCCACTGAGGCAGAGACTTGAGTGGAGTGCGGCTTGAGCTAAACATAACGTGGTTGGTCTGAATGGCTTAGAGCACGAGGTATACGTCGTCGTGAAGAATTTCGCGATAACAAAAAAGGATTGTCTCTGCTTGAAAGCCACAACTGAAAAACTAAGCGTTGGATTAAGAACACTAAAGCCCGAACATGAGCTTCTAAAACATACAATGTACCTAAGAACCGGGTGTCGCACTGCCCGCACAGCAAAACAGCAGTATGTTTGGTATACCGGCAGCCCTATGGGAGATGAATATACCGTACGAAGGAGGCAGACCGGGCGGACGCTTTTTTGAGTGGTTTGTTCGTTTATTGTTGGCAAAATGTCCAGTTAGCCAATGAAAGTGATCTTGCTTCCTGAGATCATTTTTTCAATGGCGATAATGCTGAGATATACAGACTTGGGGGGGGGGGGGGGGGGGGGTCTAAGTCGCGAGAAAAATATCAATATTATAGAGGATAATTCACTAGAACGAAATATCTGCATTTACAAACTAAAACTACGTGAGAATGCAATTTACCTTTTATAGCATATTTTGTCTAAGCTGGTTCATTGAACACGTAGGGTATATAGCTGCAGAAACAAGCTCTATCGTTGGTTGACAGTTCTTTTACATACGCATGCATGGATGCATTGGTGTTCGTCACATGTATTTGTGTCAGCACTAGTATATTTATCTCTTTGTGTCTTTTCGTCTGCGCGTATCATAATAAAATGACGAGCCCGGCCTCACACTTTGCATTTTTCTTTGTAGATTGGTGTGGTTCCTAATTAACGTGATCATCGTCACCAATTTTTTCATTGGTATGACACGCCGTCGAAATGTAGCACAGCAAAGTTATCCCATACCTGCATGTCTCGCCTGATATGCTATATCTCAGTTTCCTAATGGCAGTTTTAGCTTGAAATATGTGCTAATCTATGCACGTGACCAAAAGTTAACTACGCACTTCAAATCTGCCGACAACGCACGGACAGCATGTACATGACGCGCACATTACTTCAGACCATTGAGTGTGTGTCCCATCTAAAGAACTTCGAAATACATTGTTAGATGCGAAGCAGATTATAGGTCGAGCTCAATCCGCTGTGCGGCGTTTCTACCCTTACTCCGCATGCGCGTCCACTCGTTCTCTCTCTGCTCTCCTACGCTCCTCCTCTCTCCTTTCTTACGCCCCTCTCTCTGGCCTCACAACGCCGACGCAGTCAGCGTCTGCTAATGAGTTGTGTTTAGAAAAAGTGTTTACTGACTTAGAGGATCGTTTGATTAATATGTGGGGTTTAACGTGCCCAAACTACGATTTGATTATGAGAGACGCCGTAGTGGAAAGGTCCGGAAATTTCGACTACCTGGGGCTCTTTAACGTGCGCCCAAATCTGAAGACACGGGCCTACAACATTTCCGCCTCCATCGGAAATGCAGCCGCCGCAGGATTTAGAGGATTGGTACTCTACCAGTAGAGAGCAGAAAGCTGTCCCAGCCAAAGTAATAAATGAAGAGTAGTGTTTTAGATGAAATATTTGTGTTTAGAAACAGTGGTTGCCGATTAAGAGTGCTTAGCACTCTAATATGCGACACCGTAAAGCCGTTCCGTGGGCCTCACACGAGGCAGCACGTATTGCGGCGTGATCGCAGCCCAGAATCAAAACGAGTTGGACTTAAAAAAAGTGACTGCTCGTGGAATCAAAAAAACTTGGACACAGGGAAGTTTATTGCAAACCAGTAACAGCACTTCGGGTGAGTACAACTGTCTGCTGTCACAAAATCCCTTCAGCGGCACGTACAAACTGGAGAAGATAGACACGATGCAACTTGCAGCCCTTCATTATTCTCACAGATCACTAATCACTGAAAGAAAGAAAGAGATGGATTGGGAAAAAAAACCAACTGCTCGTGCTGTACAACCTTTCACAGGCCACCCCCGTGTAGAGAGGCACTATATTTTGACATCCAAGGTAGTGCCGGTGGGAGATTTCTTCTGTGCGTTGCCGAACGATAAACGTTCGCAGCATGCGCTTCAACTAAAAGCGGACTGGGGGCCTCTTCCTTCTGTTATTGCCCATTAGCAGTGATTTACATTATTCCAATAGGAAACACTGGTCCAGCCCAGCATGCTTTGCGCCTCCCCGGGTTTCTCTCCTGCACAACGCCGCGATGAGTGCCAGCGTCAACGTCGCCGCCAGTCAGTGTTGCCAAATGTCGGAAAAGAGAAAAAAATAGCTAGATTTCAGCAAAAAAAGTAGCTAAAAACAGCTAAAAAATCTATCAAGGAGCTAAAAAGTAGCTAAAGTATTTTCTCAAACGTATTTCGACATTCTATGCATGCGGCGAGTCTACTGGCAGTTGCGTTGCTTTAGAGTTTAAACAGATCTATCAAGTAACGTCTTGCACTAAACTACGCAGAACATGTATGAACGAAGAGAAAAGTGTTCCTGCTTTGATTTCAATATTTTAGGGCAGGCGTGGTTTTAGAAGCGTCAAAGCTTGCGTTCCCCTCAAAGAGCAGCTGGGAATTCATCAAAGCACTGTAAACATCACGGGTGTGCCAATATAAAAAAAATTGAATAAAGAAATGAACAGTGCATAATAGATCAACCAACATTTTTTGAACATTTCTTGAATAACCAGCACTGAGAAGACCCCAGTGTAACAACGCGATCGAAGAGGGATGATCGCTTTCGTTGTTTAGTGAATTGTCAAAGCGCCTGTAGTTCAAGGTGCATGCAAGATGCATCCAGGTCAGGGGACACCAAGATCAAGCTGTGATGGGAATAAGCTCTGCTGATCACCGGGTGAAGAATTTCTTGCTTTAAACTCATGTGTCTCTGAAGCGAATGTGTCTTCAATCATCTATCATTTGCATCAGATTCCCATCATTCATTCATGAAATAATGTTTGCCTTTCACGTCTTAGCTTACGAGAAAGCTGACGAGAAAGCTTAAAGTGGGCTTACAATAAAGCAGACACTGAACAACAAAAAAAAAAAACTTAAAATCTAGTATAATCTTAAACAAGCGTACGAAGAACTCTTCATAGAAAGTCGTAAAAGGGCAGAAGTATAGTGTTGTGGCGGTAAAGGGACATAGCTTCCGTGGTACCGGAATTGGCCGCTGAATATGACGCAATCATGCCAATTTCTGAAGCACATCACTTGGCAAGCTGTATTTGTGGCATCTTGCCTGTTTCATATGTGTGTGTTTGTATGTTTGTGTGTGTGCACGCCATTACACTTTGTCGACAATCAAGAGGAATCAAAGTGGACAAAAAATCGCACGTTTTTTTCGGTGGCATTTCATTGATTTTTTTTGCACTTAATTACCTTAAATATTTGACAATATCTACAGTTCAAAAACACAAACAATGTCCCCTATGCTTTCTTGGGACAAAATGACTGTTGGTTTTATATATGTGTACAAGTATTTCTCGCGCAGCATTAATCCAGAAGAAGTCATTACACTACACTTAGAGTTGGCTAGGATAAAATGGATAAAAATGCTAGAACAGCAACTCGTAGCTAAATAAAATTTCCCGTAGCTATACGAGTCCAAAAGTAGCTAGATATGGCTAAAATGGTTAAATTGGCAACACTGCCGCCAATGTAAACGTTAGCGACAGCTGCTTCGCATCTACACATGGTTCCCTTTAGCGAGAGATGGTGTACTGTTTTTTTTTTTTCTAAATATAGGATCACCGTAAAATTTTCTTCACCCTCGGTTTTCACCGCCGGTGCTGCAGCGTGCTTCTTTCCTGTTGCAATGAATCATTCTCCATTCACTGTAGCGTGCACTGTCAACGCCCGCAAAAAGCTTAAGCGGCGCACCAAAACATAATTACATTAATTGGTGATTTCAGCTTTTTGGCGATAACTGAATAAAATCTTAGATGCGGCATGTTCTCGCTGAAGTGGTTTCGACCTTCGAAAGCAGCTTAAACCTCTAGAAGCAAGAGACGACGCACTCTGTTTTGAAATGCGTTACGATATCATTCTCCCTATTCAGTCTCGAGAAAATTAACTGTCCCTTAGTTTGCCCTCAAAGACGAGATTTCAATGGTTCGGAGTGCCTGCGTTTCACATCGGCAGACGCTACTCAAGGACAATGGTGCCTCGCCGCGGTGGTCTAGTACTCGGCTGCTGACCCGCAGGTTGCGGGATCGAATCGCGGCTGCGGCGGCTGCATTTTCGATGGAGGCGGAAATGCTGTAGGTCCGTGTGCTCAGATTTAGGTGCACGTTAAGGAACCCCAGGGGGTCGAAATTTCCGGAGCCCTCCACTACAGCGTATCTCATAATCATATGGTGGTTTTAAGACGTTAAACCCCACATACCAATGTAGAAACTTATTGTAGGACAATGAAAAATAATTTCCATTAGACCTACATGAAATCAGGTATTTAGCAACGGAAAATGATGACGAATTACCTTCTTTTACTTAATCATGATGACTGACTCGCACAGTAATGATGATGATATGTGGAATTTAACGTTCCAAAACCACCATATTATTGTGAGAGACGCTGTAGGGGAGGGCTCCGAAGATTTTGACCACCTGGAGTTCTTTAACATGTGGCGAAATCTGAGCACACGGGCCTATATCATTTCCGCCTCCATCGAAAATGCAGCCGCCGCAGCCGGGATTCGAACCCGCGACATGCAGGTCAGCAGCCGAGTACCTTAGCCACTAGACCACCAGGTCGGGGCAAAATTACGTCGGGTATTTGCAATATTTGTGGGAGGAGGGGGGGGGGGGGGGGGTTTAACTCAAAAGGTGCAGTAGCACGAATTTGTTTAAACGGGTGAAGTGTGTGGAGGCCATGGGCTAGGACATCCGTTTATAAAGCAGTTAGTAAATAGTAAATAGCTTTTTTTGTGTGGGATGAAGCTTCTTTCCTTCTAACGGTGTGTCAAATAAGACTAGGTAGACTGTTGTCTGAGTTTGTTGTGGGCACTTAAGTTATGGCGGGGTCTGTGCAAGGCTACATGAACGAAGTTGTAGCCAGCGTGCGGTTTTTGTGTGTCCTTATTTTACTGACCACCTGTAATCTGAAAGAAAAAAAACTGTACATATATTTATGTGATACTGTGCTACCCATCCCACTGTAGAGTGCTATATATAGCACGCAATGGTCAGAATGTATTTAAACGAGTTTAAAAATTGGAGGCAGCTCCAAATGCAAAAACTTTCTTTTTTAAGTTACACACCAGAACACTTCCTAGAGAAGCATGGTTTTGATATGCCATATGTTTTGATATGTTAATTTCTAACAAACAGAAAACAATTGACCACGTTTCCCTGCACGGATGGGAAGAAGTATACATTTGGGACGCATTACAAGGGACAATTAAAAAAAGAATTTTCGTTAGACTCTCATGAAATAAGATATTTACCAATAGACGGTGGTAATGGATTACCTTTTAGTTTAATCAGGATGACTGCCTTCCACAAAATATGTCACTCTCGAATGCCTGGATTTCACTGTGACCCTGACAGGAGACCAGCAAAACAGTATTTTACAGAAAGTATATCAAGCTTTCTCGAGGTAGTAAGAACAAATGAATGTGTACTTACATGATTCGAAAGGGTCAAAGCTCTGCTTACTGTGAAGAAATTAAAGGAGTGATGTGCTTTAGCATTGCTTCACGGTTGCAGTAATTGTCCTGTCATGTCTGTTGTGTATTGTAATATATTTATCTTGTCCTCCAGTATGTCAAGTTCAACTGAAAATAGTTTTCCTTAAAAGCCGAGGAGGCTCAGTGGTAAAATACTGGAATGGCACGTTGGGGATGCGGGTTTGAATTCCACTGTGTCACTGGGGTTGTTTATTTATATTTTTTGCTATTTCATGTGATAGTGGTTACGGACACCGGCGGCAGCGGACAGCTACGGCACATGCGAGCCTTGCTGTGATCTCATAACAGCTTTCTCCGTAAAATAACAGTAGTAAAAATAAGGACTCTCCGCCGTAAGGGGCAGTAAACTAGACTGTGAATCTAAGATTTCGTTTTTTTCATTAATAATAAGAGATATATAATTGACGAAGAAAATGTACTTAGCCAACTTTTAAAAACTTACAAGCTTTTTTTTTTTTTTTACGCAAATCTCACTACCCCGTTTCAAATGGGATGTTCATAATATCAATCTGTACAGCCACTGTGAACACTCAGCTGGGCCGCATCAAGCAGCCACGACGCCGCGGAAGAAAATCCCCTCGGCGTAAGAAAGAATTATATCCGCCGCCAGCTTCGCGGCACCTGTCCCTACAACATTTTAGCCAGAGGAAAGGCTTTCGCGTTTTCGCCTCTTAAGAATATGCCTAGTGATACCCCTCAACTTTTCTTTGTTCTGTCTTATTCGCTTCTCCCGAAACTGCATACAGGTGCACGAGCGGGAAGACGACTTGGGCCGAACCACGCATCCGGACAGCCGTTCGACGGGAAACGCAGGCGGCCGACTGGGCTGCGGAGTGATCGGCATCGCCTCCTACTAGGCGCATGAGGCGCTGCAGCCGAGCCACTGCATGCGCGACTGTTGGGCCATCTTTCAGCGAGGTTCAAACAGTCGTCAAAATGCGCTACTCATTGTTTTTACTTCCTGGGCTGGCTTTGGTTAATAAAGATAGTCTAGTTACAAGAAACCGTCGAAGTCAATGCGACCAAGACTATTATGAGACCCGGCAACGAATGGACATGCAAAGCGTAAGACACAGGAACGCTGGCAAACAGCGAGCGTCCTACCCCGAACCTTTAGTTTCATAGCTCGCACCACGAACGTGGTTTCAGATGGCGACGACATACCAGAGCCCGCTTTTCCTTCGAGGTCAAATTCTTGCTATACTGTGCTAGTAACGGATACCTCGGACACGCGTCGTGATCTGGTTGTAGCAACTGTCCAGTGATCTACATCATAGCAAAGGGTTCAAATTGACGAGAATAATGAAGAATACCCCACGGTGCCTCAGCTGCTATTACACGAAACCAACATACAATCAATGATAGCTTCGTAATTAGGCACCGGACATAGGTGCGAGCAAGGTTAGAAAAGGAAGGATGGGGTTATAAGTTTATCCCATTCATGGATCATATGGGCGGGGAAGGGAGGGACAGCGATGAACCTTCAACTCTCCTCTTTTCGGCAGGCAAACCCTGCACATGCGCATGGCATGGGTAACAATAATTAATGAGGGCACGTTTGAAATTTCTGCACGAATTCAAAGAAATCGTTTGCTTATATACGCGTGCGGCAGCCCTGCGCATCCATTTTTATTCTGCTACTTCTGTTTTTTTTTTCGTAAACTGGACATAAAAAGAGTCAGGTGCATCTAAGACCACCGCGATGTCTTGTTCTTCCCCGCGCGCGCTAACGAGGTTAGGCGAACGTGGAAACCTGTCCGAAAATGAACGCTGTCTGTTGGTAAATAGGCACAATGTGGCTGTTGTACCTCCCGACTTAGCCTGGCTCTTGTCACCGCAGCACCCACGCTAAAAAGAAGCGACAGGGAAAATCACGCTTGGCTGGCCACGCTTGAATGGTACTCTTGCGCACGTGTACATGACGTCATATGCAAAGTCTGTAAACAAGGAATGCAGAAAGGATATACTATAGGGCAATGTAGACAAACAAGGAATGAGTACCTGTTCAGAAGTGCTAATGCTACATCTGAAATCAGCAAAGAAATGAACCTTGAAAATTCCCTTCTTCATTCAATGCTGCATCAAAGAAATGTGCAGAAACGTCGTGCGGATTTTCTTGAGACTTAAGCAACTGGTGTGTTTTCAAAAGGCACAAAACGTACATAAAAATATTATAGCCACACTTGAATCGAAATAGCTGAAGAAAAGGGCGACTGCTCTAGCCATTCAGCTAAACACGTTGCCTGCTTTATTTGAAGCGTACTGTCTTCGGCTACCAACCTGCGCACTTCCATATGGTGGGGTTTCTTTAACTGGTTTAGTCATTTCAAAAAGGTCTTTACACGCTCGCTTCTGTTTCCTCTCTAAAGAAAGTAAGGGTAATTTTGAAAGCGTCAAAACATCCATATTGTGCTGTACACTTAATGCAATAAGAAAATAATTAGCTTCGCGAGGAAAGATATACAGTAAGATAGAATATAGGAACGAAACGAAAATGCGAGACAACCATTACTGGAAATAAATAAATTCAAATGAAAGTAGATATTACCGTATTTGTTCATTCGCAATAATCGATGGTGCAGCATTTTAAGAGCCCTCCTCCGGAAAGGCACGTTAATGTAACATTTCTAGCCAGCAGATGTAACATCAAAGTGCTGTTTTAGTATGATCACTTTCTTGCTCGTATACAAGTTGCTAACAAACAAAATGGCTCAAAACACTTTTTTGATCATAGCATTTTCTTCTGTGGCAAGCTAATGAAGCTCACACAAAGTATAAAATGTAAGTATTCGCTTCTCAGTGTGCGACATGTTTGTACTGCAAGGTAGTGCATGGCATGGTTGGTGAAAATATCTGTGAACCTATAAAATTATTACTCGAGGCAAGGTAAGTGATGATGATGATGATGATGATGATGATGATGATGATGATGATGATATGTGGGGTTTAACGTCCCAAAACCACCATATGATTATGAGAGACGCCGTAGTGGAGGGCTCCGGAAATTTCGACCACCTGAGGTTCTTTAACGTGCGCCCAAATCTGAGCACACGGGCCTACAACATTTCCGCCTCCATCGGAAATGCAGCCGCCGCAGCCGGGATTCGATCCCGCTACCTGCCGGTCAGCAGCCGAGTACCTTAGCCACTAGACCACCGCGGCGGGGCTAAGTGCGATATTTATTTGATCCTTTCGTAATTACTTCTTCTGTAGCCACAGGCACGTTAAAATGTCTAAATACGTCTTTGAAACAGTATTTAAGACAAGTAAATTAGAAACTAAATTCCCAACCGTGGGAGTCAGGACATCCAATTGAACTGTCTTATACGAAAAACCCCTTGCAGCTTTGGGACTTCTCAAAAGTATCTCTGTTAATAGTCACAAGGTAAGGAAATTCAACCATATACAGCAGCGAAACCAAAACAAAAACGCGGATGATCGCAACTGTCTTATTCTTGTGAGACGCCCAAAATGAGTGAGCCTCAATGTATCGGCCATCAACCGACTTCATTGTGTGGGTGTGCAGGCAGCGCCTACAATTTCAGCCCACGTGGCGCGCATACTAATATGGCAAACGCTGAACACCTTTGCAATGGTTGTCTTGAACAGTGACATCGTTGAGGCAGTTTGTTTATTGCGCTCATCAATGCTTTGATTTTTGGTTTCTCCGCAGACTTTTGTTACCTTTGTCGCATGATGAACTTCGATTTCCCCATTTGATATAACCACACAACCCTGCTCATGAAAAGTTGAATTACTACGGCAAATAGTGCTCTGAAGGCATCAAAAAAAGACTGGATTTCTCTCATTTTCGAGCATATTGTGCACATATCTAGAAACACACACACACATACACACACATGCATATATATATATATATATATATATATATATATATATATATATATATATATATATATATATACGTGTGTGTGCGTGCGTGCGTGCGTGTGTGCGTGTGTGTGTCTGTGTCTGTGTGTCTGTGTGTGTGTGCGTGCGTGCGTGCGTGCGCGTGTGCGTGTGCGTGTGCGTGTGCGTCTGTGTGTGTGTGTGTGTGTGTGTGTGTGTGTGTGTGTGTGTGTGTGTGTGTGTGTGTGTGTGTGTGTGTGTGTGTGTGTGTGTGTGTGTGTGTGTGTGTGTGTGTGTGTGTGTGTGTGTGTGTGTGTGTGTGTGTGTGTGTGTGTGTGTGGTGTGTGTGTGTGTGTGTGTGTGTGTGTGTGTGTGTGTGTGTGTGTGTGTGTGTGTGTGTGTGTGTGTGTGTGTGTGTGTGTGTGTGTGTGTGTGTGTGTGTGTGTGTGTGTGTGTGTGTGTGTGTGTGTGTGTGTGTGTGTGTGTGTGTGTGTGTGTGTGTGTGTGTGTGTGTGTGTGTGTGTGTGTGTGGTGTGTGTGTGTGTGTGTGTGTGTGTGCGCGTGTGTGTGTGTGTGTGTGTGTGCGCGTGTGTGTGTGTGTGTGTGTGTGTGTGTGTGTGTGTGTGTGTGTGTGTGTGTGTGTGTGTGTGTGTGTGTGTGAAGGCGAACATTGGCATAGTTTTGTGTCCGATGGCTCTTAAGTGGAAAGTGGTGAAGACCGCGCGCATCTTGTATGGGCGGCTCCTCGACGTTTACCATGGTAAACCGGGAGAGACAGAGATTGGTGGCAGGCTTTCAGTGCAATATTTACTTGTCGGCGGGTCTGCAACATCTGAAGCAGCCAGTAATGTTGCGCCACCGTCAATATTCATTATACAGATAAGCTAGTTTCCGGAAGAGAAAAGGAGAAGGGGTGTAAAAGAAAAGGACCGAGTGAATGTTTGTTAGTCTAAAGACAGCTTGACTACAGTAATATTACTGTACGACGTCCGGAATAGTTTATCTGTGCATGCCGGCTAACAGGGCCATAAATCCTCGGTAGCTACATGCAAATCAAGCTTACAGTTGCGTAAAGGAGCGGCATCATTGGAACTGTATTATTTTCGCAATTGGTGGAAAGGGGTCGGCGACTCGTTAGACAGGCGCGTTTGTGCATTTCTATGATTATAATGCTGAAAGGATGACAGGATGTCCACTCATTCTATTTTTTATCGTGTTGTATTCGTAGATAAAGTAAGATTCCCGTTCTCTGGTTGTTCGAAATTGTTTTCCAAGAGTGTAACCATGATATTGTTAAAGTTGTAATTATTGAGGTGGCGCATGAAGGGTAGTGCTTTGAGATATTACTGCGGTAGTAACGCTGAAGATGACCTATGCTTCCGACGTATGGCTGAGGACCAGAAAAACTATACACGCCTAACAGGCTTTACCAAAAAAAAGTCACTGAGTTTGGACACGTGCTATCTGGCCATTAATAAAGCTTGCGAAATATTAAGGTGTCATTCACTTTACAAATCTTTCGAGTTCATGTTGCGTGTGGCTAAAATTGGTACACGTGCCATTTGTTCAGTGACTGTGCAGTAACGTCACGTGACAAGCTAGATATAGTGTCTTTTTCATAGTAAGTGCACGTAACGATTAAGATCACGTAAGGCCTCTAATTGACTTTGTTTAGCCGTTGTTCAGCATAGGTGCTTCAACTATTTCCTTGTCTTTTTTTTCTCCGCAATGTGCCACGTATTACGATTTACTCAATCTCATTGTATGCTTTATTGTCTTAGTTTTTTTAATCAAGCGAACACAATTATTGCTCGAGAAATGTTCGCAATCGAATGTATAGGCAAGCGACACTTTGTCGTACAGATCAAGATTTAACGAAAAGAAATGTTTGAGACATAGAAATTGTCTTAAAAAGCAAACGCGAACCTACCCCGTGGTTCACTAATCATATCATAATGCCAATTTACTAATGAATGGCAACCAATAGAAATGGATTACTGTTTCCAAACAGGGCTAATTACTGCTTTAGCTGTTCTGAGCGAGGCTAATTACTCCAGCACAGGGCTAATTACTCCACCAGCTGTTCCGAACGAAGAGGCGCGCCGCTCATTTCGCTGTAGCCAAGGTAAGATTGGTTGTCGGGAAATTGCTGAAT